TGGGAATGGGAAGGGGCGGCGGGATGTTGCGGGGTGCGAGTGGGGAGGGGAGGGGCTGCAAGTGGGGAGCTGGGAACCCTAACTCCTGCTTATATACAAGTCCGGTAGGAGGACAGATGTGGGCCTTTTATGGGCTGTGGGTTGGGCAACTATTTTTGGAGGCGGGCTTTATAGGTTGCCGGTCTCCAAAAATGTATTTATGGAGGCGGGCTCCTTAAAATGTCCGCCTCGGTTAAGTTTAATTAACCGAGGCGGTTACGTTACAGTGCCCGCCTCGGTTAAGTATTAACAGAGGCGGTTGTTGGCCCGACTGCCTTGCCTCGAGTAACCGAGGCGGGCAACCAGGCCGCCCGCCTCGGAGGCTATTTTGGAAACGCTGCGCAAAAGATTTTGTGTAGTAGTGTAGATCTTCTAATTATTAACTAGATGATACTAATTTATTGGTCATATTAACTAGTTTGGAATCGTTATTAGGTGCTAATCGTTTATATGGATCAAAGAGCACTTTGTTTGATGAAAACATATCATGCAACGATTTTCAGCTTAACTTGGCAGCCTTGGCTAATAGGGCAGCAAGACGTGTTCTACTTTTACGGTTGTACTGAACCCCATGGAAACTTTTCACACGGGTAACTCTTCAAGACCGGTCAACATGAGACTTCAATTGTTGTCCCCAAAAAAAAAAAGAACACGAGACTTGGTTGGATGGCTGTTCGCTTGGATTAGACGGAATCAGCTGGGACCTGACCTAGCTGAGGACGAGATTGCCATGTGCCTGTACGCCTGCTCCACGCGCGCATTCAAACCGATAGGGACTGACTGCCGGTGACGGACGTGGGGACAAGGCCACCAGTAGTACTTCCTCCGTAAGGCGTGTTAATATATCTAGAAAGTGTTTAATATGACTACCTCCTAGACTGTCTTCAACGGCGTGACCTAAATGTAAAATGTGTCCGGCACAGTGTTTTAGGTAGCCAAAATCATCCTCTAACGGAAGACCGAAACCACCGACGCATTCTGGGTACTCGACGATTCGGAAGGCATTTCTGCGTCTTCGAAGAGAGACGACGCAAACGTGGTGGGCCCGTTGGAGCTGCAGTGGCGCAGCGCCCTGCCCCGCGCTGCGGCCCACCTCCCCGCCAGCGGCAAGCTTGCCCCGGCGTGCGGCCCACCTCCACCTCGGCCACGCCATCCTCCTCACCTCCGCCATCTCCCTCCTCCGCACAAGATCGAGCGCGGGCGCGTTGACCTGCTCCGGGCGGCAGCCCTGCCCCAGCGCAGCAGCCCGCCTCCACCTCGGCGCGGCGGCCCACCACCACCTCCGCGCGTTGCCCTGCTCCGTGCGGCGAGGAGGAGGCGGGGGTGCGCGGATCTGGGCCCGCCGCCGCTCAACCTGGCCGGCGAGGCGAGCTGGCCCCAGCGGCCGGCCCTGCCAAGCGCGCCGAGCCCGCCCGGCGTGGCATCCCGCCTCCCGCCACATCATGAGGCTCCCAGCGATGACAGGAGGCGCGGGATCTGCTGACCGTGAGAGGAGCGAGAAGAGAGAGAGAGAGGGCAAGGGAGATCGGGAGGAAGAGGGAGGAGGGAAGAGAAGTGACGAGGGAGAGAGGGATTGGAGAGATATTTTATCGGTGCACAGTGATTTGGGTCGTCGGTTGGAGAAGATAAATTTTGGGTGCAGATCTTTTTCTGTGCAACACTCAAACAAGAGAAATGGACGTTGTATTTAGGTTGTATTGTTGAAGCCAGTCTTAGTAGCTATCAATTTCTCTTACAACATTCATCAGTCATTATAAAAAGCATAGCCATATTAAAAGGTTTTCTGCAATACAAGTCTCTTAATATAACTTTGATTAGAAATTTAAGTGGGTATATAATTTGAACTATTGTTAGTCAAGCTTTGGAAAGTTTAATGTTTTCAAATCCTAATTTGCGCCATAAAAAGAAGAGGGGGTATCTCAGCTAGCGATGGCAATCGTTCCGTGGATGTGGGTATCCGCAGTTTTCGTACGACTGATTGGTGAGTGTACATGTACAAAAACCTGTGTGAGGCCTGAGGGTCTGTGAAGATCGATCAGATACCTGAAAATAAAGCATATAGGGGGTGTGTGGGTACCAGATTTTATCTGCGGGTGTCTATCTATCGAGTACCTAAAATACAGTGAGACCATGATAGTGATTGTGTAAATTAATGTGATGTAGTAACTATTAATATTTCTGTGAATTTTGATGTAGTTGAGTCCGTGTTTTATACTGTCGTTCGTGTGAAACCTGTGGCCCCGTTCGTGTGCTCTTAAATTCGGCTTGATCCATTTCTTTTTTCATCCGGAACAGTGTTTTTCTCTCACAAATTCCTCTAAATTCATCCAAAACCATTCAGATTCCTCCCAGCCAACGGGGCCAGTGATGAGTGTGAGTTTGTGAACTATGAAGTGTGAAAATGAGACTTTGCTTAATTATTTACTAATTTTGTCATTCTTATAGAAATATGGGTGCCAAAACTGGTATTTGTTCGATCAAATATCTTATTTGACACATTGATATTTCTAATTTCAGTAGGCTCTCCTCGTAATATAGCATGAGAATATTCCTCATGGAACTCAACTTTTTTCCACCCATCAGATTGCTCATATCTTTCTCTCAGTATTTAAACCATATTCGTTTGAATTTATCAGCCGGCTTATCAGCAGAATCTACAGTATTTTCTCTCAGAACAAAACAGCTTCAGCCAACTTATCAGCCGGCTTATGTATCAGCCGAACAGAGCCTCTCGTTTCCTGCATGAACTCGTCCACCGTGTGTCCTTCACCACTCTCATTCTCCAACTTCCTTCTCCAGTGTTCCTATCTTACATTTTGATGGGCTAACTCGGCCCTATCTAAAATTAAAGGATTTTTTTTAGTTATTCTAAGTTAAACCATTTTAAGTTTGATTAGACTTATAGGAAGACCAATAATATTTATAATATCAAATAAGCCGACATGCATTATATTTTCATAATTTACCACTTTGATACTGTAGATACTATCATATTAATACTTTTCTATATAAACTTTGGTCAAACTCTTACTTTCTCCGTCCATCGTCATTGCTAGGTCAATTTGCCTTAAATGAACTCTGAGTGATTGAAGGGAGCTCGCTACTAGAAAGGGGTATGGAAACACTTGAGCAAGATTTAGTTCGTGTTTGGCTGGGCTTATTGCAGCCCTGGCTCCTCCTGCGTCTCCAACTATAACAACAATATTCGTTGGAGCCGTTTTTTTCTCTCCTGTCAAATTAAATGAATGTGAAGTCTCTGTGGCTCCTCCGGTACAGTAGAGTGGAGCCGAAGCTCGGCCAAACAGGGCCTTAAACTCCATTTGAAATTGATAAAAAAAATAGCAGAATTTTGGAGGATTTATTTTTTTGCGAATTGTTCCTATGAGAGCTTTAGAAACAAGTGATTTAATCATACGAATTTCTTTGAAATTTTTATGGAATGAGCTTCTCTATATAAATATTATTGGGAAATAAGCATGAGGCCTCACCTAATATCATGTTTTTCCCTTTGTGTATTAGACTTCCTGCATTGTAAGTAGCAATTAAACCCTTGTAAAACTCTCCGTCGCTAGATTTATGTAAGATTTTGATTGCATAGACGCATCACTCCAATTCTATTTTTTCCCATTTCTACATGTCAAGGATCTTGTGTTCCAAAGAGCTCTTTACCATTCTCCATTGTATGTAGATTTTAACGATCTTGGGTTCCAACGAGTTTCTTACCATTCCCCGTTTCAGTAATTTCGAGAGAACGTGCTAACTGCATCTCCCTTCTAAAATACCAACGTGCCAACAGAACCGACCATCGACCACGACTGGAAAACGGAGTGTATATAAAACAAAGTTGAAGAATGGCGCATAAGCAAAATGTGCTCTCCCTTCTAAAATACCATGCTCCTCCGGTCCTCCCTCCATTCCAAATTATAAAATAAAAATATTTTTTTAATTCATTGCTTTAACTATGTATTCATAGTGTATATCAAGTGTATAATAAAAAAACTATATATATAAAAATATCAGAATGTCTTATAATTTAGAATGGAGAGAATACTAAATAAAAATTCATTCTAGCTATTAACCCTCAAAATTAACCAAAAGAGATAAACCTGGACTGATTTTACCGAAACCGTATACTTAAATAAGAGCTAGTGCGACCATGGGCTCGATCATATGATGGTTGCCTAGGATTAATATGGTTGGGATCTGGTAAAAACATAAAAAAACCCAATTACGTAACCAGCACAGTAAATCAGAATGGACACTGCACCTCTGCTGAGACCTTGTTTGGATACCAATGTATTCATCTCAATTCCTCTCTCTACAAAGACCTTGTTTAGATACTAATGTATTCATCTCAATCCATATGGATTAGAGTGGTTTGGTGTGTAATTTAAATTCTCCAAACATATGGATTATTAGGGTGAATATATGAGTATCTAAACAAGGCCTACCGCATGGAGGGATGCAAAAATCTCAAAATCATGACATGCGGTGAAGCATTTATACAAAACTGAGGAAAACACCAACAGTGCTTAATGCTTCTGCAAGACTAAAGGGCCAATGTCTGATGCATAACCTGGGCCAAGTTAAGCTGCTCAAATGCCATGAAAATCGTTGAGAAAACAGCTAATCGCAGCTGCTAACAGCAACAGGCACAGAGACGAACATGCTTCAGAGTTAGTAGACAAGTTAGTTTAGACGCAAGAGACAGGCATCAAAAGGACATATAAAAAACATGCAGAGAAAATAAAATATGGTCAATTAGTTGTCTAGGCATTAATCTATTCTGATGGTCAGCATCAACTAGTTTTAGCAACTGTACATCCACCATGGCTGCATTCAGGCCTCACCTTCCATTCTTCCATAGGCGCACAAAATAATTCACAAAAAAAACCCTGCAATCTCTGAATGAGACAAGGAAAAAGATTAAAACAGCGAACACGGAGCACCTCGGCCTCAGCTCAGCTCTTGCCGTCTTCCTCGTCAAAGGTTGCCGAGGAGTACTCCTCGAAGGTAATGCACGACGACGAGGGCGACCGGGACGGCAGCGACGGCGGGGACGACGCCTGCGGCTGAATGGTCACGAGGAGGTCGATGAATGCACCGACGATGGCAGCGTGGACGCCCTTGGCGTTGAGCTTGAGGTACCACGCCAGGAGCTCCTCCAGGGCCTCCCAGTCCCGCAGCCCGTGCGCCGCCACCATCTCCGCCATGGACGCCCTGAAGTCGCCGTACGGGTCCTTGGACTCCACTGTCACCACCACCGCGCTGCCCTTCGCCGCGACGGCCTCCGCCGCCGGCTCGTCCTTGTCGCGCGGCGCGTCTGTCGTCGCTGGCTCCTCGCTCTTGACGCCTGCCACTGCCACGGTGGCCGCCTCGTCGTTCTTGCCTCTCGCCGGCGCCACGCCCTGAAACCTCTCTCGGGTTAGAATCAGAAACGACCCGAATGGTGCCTTCTCGTCGGACGACGGATGGCACAAGAAGATATGCAGAATGCTTTACCTGCTTGGACAAGAACTCTGCGCCGGCCGGGGCCGGCTCGAAGAGCAGCCGCTCCGAACGCATGCCGCGCACGACGGCCGTCTCACGCAGCTCCGTCTCCTTCTCCTCCTCCTCGTCCACCTGCTCCGCAACCGCAACGGCCTCTCCGAGCAACGACAGGGGGCTCCGGTCGATACACGCTGCCTCATCGATGGACGAGCACCGGAGGAACTGCTCCGAGGTCGTGTCGTAGACGCTGTTCACGGTCCGGAACACCGCGGAGCCGTCGTCCTTTGGCCCGCGGAACGAGCTTGTGCGCGGGTGCCGGCACGACGGCCAGGGCCACAAGGACGGCGGCGGCGGGTAGCAGCGCTGGGCGTAGTGCGCGGACGGTGTCGACGGCGCCGGCGGCGAGGCAGAGGGCGGGCGGTGCACGTCGCGGAACTTGTAGAGGATGGCGGCCAGGCCCTTCTTGGCCATGGCGGCGGGGTGGTGGCGGCGCTTGAGCTTGTGGAAGTGGAGGTGGGAAGGGTGCAGGGAAGGAGGCATTGTGCCGCTCTCGAGTCTCGAGTGGCCGGCGGGAGCTGGTCTCGCCGCTCTATTCTGTTCGCTTGGGTTTTATAGAAGGACAGAGAAGACGACGAGAGGGATGAGGTCTTGGTCAATCGTCATGCTCATTTACTGTAGGGGTTGGAGAGGTTTCAGTGAGGAAATGAATACACCCATTGAATGGCTACTGGTAAAATATACAAGACCACGTCAAAAAAAAATCTTTGTTCTGAAATTCTTTACCAGGACCGGCCAATATTCATGGGACCAAGTGAAAAAAAAAATGATTAGGAGTAAATGTCGTATACTATTTGCTAAATGTTTAATTCCGCCAACACAGCATACACATAGAAAACAATAAACCAAAAATAGACAAAGAAATAAAGAAATAAAGAACTCACCTACTATCACCGCCGGAGACGGAGAAGTTCGCTAACGTTAGGGTTTGGGAGTGGGGGTGTGGCGGGGGGAGGGGCGGCGTGTTCTATGATTTAGGAGGAATCGTCGGAGAGGATGCCAAACGGGTGATAACAGTGTAAGTGACGGGACCGGGGGCACTACCTGAAGAAGGCGACTTCGATTCAGCGATAACAACGATAGAAGGAGGCGGTGCCCATGTGGGGTGGTACAGTGGCAAGGGCACTGGAGCGCAGATCAGTGCAAGCTTGGATTTAGTAAGGGCAGAGGTGGAGGCAGTGTGGGCGCCGCCAGAGCTAGGCGGAGTGGGGCTAGTGGCGGGGGAGTGCGGAGTGGAGATGATAAGGTAGAGAAAGGAGTGAGCTGGCCAAATACTTTTTGTGTGCGCATCCACGCGGTAGTGAAGTCCATACTATTTTCTTTTTTTTCATAAAATGGATACTATTTTTCTTCCGAAATGCTACAGTGCATCGTTCGACCGTCCGAACGCCGTGCTTCCTCGGCCTGTGCACTACCAGCCCGATCGGCCTGTTTCCCTTTGCCTTCATTCTTTCACCGTTTCTCAAAACAGAAAAAGACGGCGACATTCCAGCCTAGCACTACCGTCGTAGCGTTCCCTACCACTCACCCGTCGCTCGCCTTCTCCAGCGGCGACCACATCCGCTTCCTTCGCCCCGGGGCCCTCGCTTGCTTTCGCGACGCTAGGATGCACCGCTGGAGTCATGCCTGCCGCCTGCCCCTGCCCTCATTGCCAGAGCCGACGCCGGCGTCCTTCTCCTCATCTCCTCCTGCGGCTAGAGACTGCGAGGGCGTTGGGGCCGTGCCATACTTCGCGCTCGCATTGAGGCTCCACGCGCCCCGGTGCCCAAGCGGAAGAAGCTTGCGGCAGCCAAGCCCGTGGTGTCCTTCGCTCCGTCACCTCTGAAAGGTCCTAAATGGCTAGAGGGGGTGAATAGCCTATAAAAAAATTCTATAACAACACTTAAGCCAAAGTGGTTAGATAATAAAGTGGCGAAACGAGTGTTGCGCTAGCCTACTGAAAATGCAAGCCACCTATTCATAATTCTAGTTGCTATGATCACTATATCACACAAATGCTAAGTCACTACTCTAAGTTAGTGAGCTCTCAAAGGCTAACTAAAGAGCCTCATTAACCAAACTAACAAGCTCTCAAAACTAGCTACACTAAAGAGCTCAACTAAACAAGTATATGAAAGTAAGTGCAAGAGAGATAGTGAGGGTTATACCGCCGTGGCAAGTGGCAATCAATCAATCACAATGAATATCCTGGAGACAAGATGACACAATGATTTTTTCTCCGAGGTTCACTTGCTTGCCGGCAAGCTACGTCCTCGTTGTAAAGATTCACTCACTTGGAGGTTCATGAGCTAATAGGCATCACACTCCTAACCCGCAATTGGGTGCCGCACAACCAACACAAGATGGGGATCCACAAGTTACGAGCAATCCACTAGAGTCACCTTTCACGATCACCCGCGGGGAATAGGTGCAAGAACCCCTCACAAGATCATCGGAGTCAGCCACGAACAATCACCAACACGTTCCAAACCTCCACTGCTGCTCCAAGCCTTCTAGGAGTCGGCAAACGCCAAGAGTAACAAGAGAACCACAACAAATCGATCCCCAAGTGCCACTAGATGCAATCACTCAAGCAAATGCACTTGAAATCACTCAATCTCACTTTGATTTGCACTGTCAAGCAAGGAAATGAGTGGGAGGGTGTTTGCTCAGCTTAAAGGATGCTATCACATGTAAGAATGACCAAGAGAGTGAGCCAAACACGCCCAAGCTCTATTTATAGAGCCCCCTAAAAGTTATAGCTGTTATGTCCTCGAGGAGGTCCGGACCGAGGCTTCGGACCATGGTTTCGGACCACCTATAGTGAAGGTTCGGACATCCAGATCTCGTCATGTATCCACTCGTTCAAACGCGCTCGTTAGATCTCAACGGTCACTAAAAAATGCGTCAAATTGCGTAGTACCGAACCCTAGAACCGGACCGAGCAACAGGATCATCTAACCCCTCAGTCCTATTCAATCCAGAGAGCTTCCAGAGAGGGTTTTTTCCTCCGGACCATCTTAGGGTCCTGTCCCTCCAAACGCATGTAAAAACACTCAACCAGACCCAGAAAACATGGTCCGGACCCACAAAACATGGTCCGGACCCTAGATCCGGACCCGATCCTTAGCTAGAGTCCTGAGCGCTAAAACGACTATAACTCTTAGCTCTAAACTCTGATTTTGATAATCTTGGATATTTTGGAAAGCTTATGCAGAGGGATACACATCCCACATGCATATTTGTTCCAAAGCACAATGGATCAACATAGAATTCCCATCCAAGGACCATCATATGTTCAACATAGATCAGTAACACCCCATGTCCAAAAACTGTTTATATGCCCCAGCTCCACACGTGGAACGGGCCTGCATACGTGTAGCACCTCTCTTACACTTTTGTCCTCGCTTCGTGTAAAAGGGTTAACACGGAGGTGCTACGTTTGGAACAACAAGGCTTATAAGCTGGCCCTCACCCTCCTAAACTTCTAAGGTGGTACTAAACCCACCAACAACTCCTCCACATCTGTCACTTGGGCTACATGGGCCAACTTCACAACTACTACAAGCTACTAATGGGTTGGAGTGTTACATTCACCCCCCCCCTTAAGGGCTGACACCCTCAGTAGCTCACCACGTATATGTGGCATATGTCCAGGACCACCCCTTGGTACACCCCTCCACGGGCACATGCAGCAAGGGTTGATGCTCCGATACCATTTGTAACACCCCCACCATCCAAAAACTGCTTATATGGCCCAGCTCTACACGTGGAACGGGCCTGCATACGTGTAACACCTCTCTTACACTTTTGTCCTCGCTTCGTGTAAAAGGGTTAACCTAGAGGTGCTACGTTTGGAATGACAAGGCTTATAAGCTGGCCCTGTTGCCCTCGCCATCAGGGTCCTATTGATCTTTTCACCTCCAAATCAACTTCTATCTCTTCATCCTTGCTCCCAAGTGCTAAACACATTGTGTATCATCATTGTGCACGTGTGTTATCATTTTTCAAGTACTTTCCAAGGGTTAATTGTTAGCACACTAGGTCCTAATGCATATGCATGAATCACTTCACCTAGTGGCACTTGATAACCGCTTTAACCGAGATTCTTCCCTCTTTATAGTATACGACTATCTATCCTAAATCCACTCACATCCACTAGGTGTCTTGAGTGGCAAAATAAAATGGCCCTATTGATTATACCATTGCCTTGAGCCCATTTTGTTTTTTTCTTTCTTCTTTTCAAGTTTAGAGCATGATCATCATCATCACATGTCCATCACCATCACCATAGACTTCATCTTGCTCCACCCCTTGGATTGGACCATCCTATCTAGTCACACACTTAGATGCAAGGATTAGTCTAAATAAGTTTCATCAATTATCCAAAATCAAACTAGGGCTTTCAACCTCCCAGCCCTAATCGCCCATTGAGGCACTTATCGAGTTCCTCAACGCGCCTTTGACATGATGACCACCTTCCACTAAAGTGCGCACTTCTGACATGTAGCAAGCATATGTTTTAAGTGTTTTAGATGTTCCAAAGGTATTTTGTAAGTGTTTCATATGGATGTTCCAAAAGTACATTGGGATGTTCCATATATAGCAAAGTGTTCTAGAGACATATTGCAAGTTTTTAGAGGCATGTTGCAATGGTTTGTTCAAAAATATTTCATCTGTTTCAGACGTATGTTGCAAGCATTTTTGATCTAGATGTTGCATATGTTTCACACATATGTTGCAAGAGTATGTTCAAAATGTTTCAGCGGTTTCAGTCTTATGTTGCAATAAGTGTTTTCATGTAGCAAGTGTTTTATCTAGATGTTGCATATATTTCACACATATGTTGTAAGTGTATGTTCCAAATGTTTCATCTGCTTCAGACGTATGTGAAAGCTCTAGTTTGGTTTTGCTGAATTGATAAAACCCTAAGTGTTAACCTACTTTATCAAGTGTTCATGAGGTAGGTAGCACACTCCAAGTGGTGAAGCAAATGAAGATCATGACATGATGATAGCGATGCCATGGTGATGATCAAGTGCTTGGACTTGAAAAGAAGAAAGAGAAAAACAAAAGGCTCAAGGCAAAGGTATAAATGGTAGGAGCCATTTTATTTTAGTGATCGAGACACTTAGAGAGTGTGATCACATTTAGGATTGATAGCCATACTATTAAGAGGGGTGAAACTCGTATCCAAATGTGGTTATCAAAGTGCCACTAGATGCTCTAACTCATTGCATATGCATTTAGGATCTAGTGGAGTGCTAACACCCTTGAAAATGTTTGTGAAAATATGCTAACACATGTGCACAAGGTGATACACTTGGTGGTTAGCACATTTGAGCAAGGATTAGGAACTTCACCGGCGGAGTGTCCGCCCATAGAGTGCGGACAGTCCGACGGTGCCACCGGCGCCCTATACAGAAAAGACGGAGGTCACTGTAAGTGACTGGACGCTGGCCTCGGTTGGACCGGCGCGTCCGGTTAGTAGAAGCTGCAAAGAC